ATATAGGATATAGTCAAATAAAAGAGGGATAAGAATAACAACATATGTATAGATATGGGTATAACATAAGGAAACTGGATATAAATTTTAAGTAGTGATTTGGAAAGGAGGATTAGAAAACTTTGTTATTAAATATTATGGATGTTTAGCTAGGACATAAGGATTTAGTGTTAGTGGAGGATTTTAGAAATAGTAATTGAAAGGCCAGTATGTGGTTATGTATTAAATTTTGGTATATTTTATGATGGACGCTTAAACAATTATAGTCAAATGAAAATGGAGAGATGATGATGGTGACATGTATAAATATTTGAGTTAAAATACTTAAGTTAATATGAATTATGTTTGTTGACTGTGGAAGAGATGCATGAAAGTCTTTTTGTAACCAACTGATAGACTTTTTATATATCATGTAAAAAAGGATGTTGTATTTGTTTTAAAATTAAATTTTTTTAAAAAATCCCAGTGAATGAGGGAAGAAGGAATAGAAACACGCAAAAAAGATTAAAAAGCAAATTAAAGTGGATTTTCACAACATGTCCCTCATTGCATCCCATTCTTGTTTAGTGCTACATTTTTTACAAATGAAGAAAACAAAAGAAGTGCCTTTCTGAAGAAAACTACTTTAGAATTGCAATGTCTGAATTCTATTTGATATTATACCCTTTGTTTATATTATACTCTGACAAAGGCATTTTACTTTCTCTTAGCTACAGTGACATATATGATCATTGTTTCTACAACTTGGCTTCTCTCCTTCATTGACTCTGCCAGAGAAAGTCATGTTAAGAGCTTTTTACCCCTCCCTCTCTTTGATGTTTTGATCAATGTTGGCAGATACACAAGTGGGTAAATCTGTTTTAAACCACAGTACATCAGATGAAATACAATGTAAGCCATACAAATTATGCATCTTTAAATTTCTTTGTATGTGATATTGGAAACTGACACATCATTTCCTACAAGGACAAAAGAAAAACCCAAATGTATTGCTTATATTCAAAACATACACTGGAATTTCAATATACCACGAATCTATATGCCACAGAAAATTAATTCAGCATTAACCTAGTAGCTATCTGAAAAATAAAAAAAGAGAACTCTCTTTTATTTCTACTGTCTCTAAGAACTTTCACTATAAAAAAGAGGAATAAATTTGCAATATAAAATTAACAGCTATATGCTATAAAATACATGAACAGCCGAAGTTGGCCAGTTTTCTGCTAGGAATCTTGCATCCCATCCTGTGTCATGCTAAACCACAATGAACCATGATGATTCATAATACACAAATCCAGGCAAGTTCAATGTAATTGCTAATGACATATAAACTTTTTATAATATTCTTTGCAAGTTAGAACCAATTCGTAGCAGAACATAAAATTAATAAGAAATACAATGGGTATTATTACTGTAGTTACAGTATAATTCATCTGAAAAGGTTTCCTAACTGAAAAAAAGCAAATATTTTATATATGGGGTCTAGTTGAAAAAAATAAGGTAAAATAAAATAAAAAATATGGCAAATCAAACATTCATTTTGAAAAATCTTTGAATTAAAGTGCATTGCATTTTACACTTACACTGATCTCATTAACAGTTTTTATAGCTTTTTCTTTTCTTTGCATGAATTCATCATCCTACAAGGCAAGTGAGATAAGTTTAAACAATAGCAACAAACTTTTGGTTTCTACGCGGATAGCAAAGATAGCAAACCTTATTGTATAAATAACTGTGATGCTCAAATACTCAAAAATGGAAGCTATGTCATTCTGTCTCTTTCACATTGAGAATATAATTCCACAAGTACTTATCTGGATCATTAAACTCATCAGGACTTACTTCTAAATATCCACAGATACAACAGTGCCTTTTATGCTTACATCCTAATACTACAATATACTGTAATATAGTTTTAGAAAATATACTTGTCTAATCAAAAGCAAAGGCTTTGACATTAGTTATCGCATTGGAGCCAGAAAAAGATGCTTACCAGCTTTTAAATAGAACCAATTAACACAGGAAGATATACTTGTTCTAGTACTGAATGTTTTAACAGCATCTCAAACTCTTAATGACAGTTCTTAAAAACATCTAAAGCACCTTGTTCCAGCAAAAAATACAATGTGAATCTTGAAAACTAATCATGACAATTCAACATTTGAATTCAAACTGTTCTGATATACTGTATGTCTCATTTCAGGTTTTAAAGAGTTATTGTTTCTGATTTAGCTATTATAAAATTAAAATGGTCTGCTTTGATTATCTTTAAAAAAAGTGTTTGGGCTATGAAACAGTATTTTGAGATAAAATATTTCCAAAAGTATTAAGATAGTATGCTTTGAATAGAAAACAAAGGTTTCAAAATCTTTTATACAACTGTTTCAAATCAAAAGCTGGATGTTTCAAATACAAAACAGCTCAAATTCAAAATATTTTGCACATGCCTATTTTTTTAATCATAAAAAGCTGACAATTATATTTTCCTTCCATAAATGAATTGGAGATAACTTGAACATATTCAGGGTTTTCTAACAAAGAAAAACTGAACATGACGTTCTAAAGAACAGATAAACCTACCATGTAGAACTGTACAGTAGTATGTCACAGTAGCATGTTGAATGGGGCATTAAACATCGAATCCTAATGTCACTACAGAAATTAAACTTGTAATAAAAAATAGTTATATGTCTATCAGTGCTGGACAAGCACATTGCTTTAAAATGCTGTTGATAACAATTTTCAAGATGATTTTAGAAATGCTCCAAATGGCTAGCAATACAACCAGATATTTAACATTAAAGAGGGAATACTGACATTTGTTTTTCTCCAGTATTAGCTCCTGACATTTGATACATCAGTTTCTGTCCTTAAACTCTATGAGCTGAAACAGCTCTGCAAACTTTGCTTCAATCCTGTACAATTTAAAGATGCTGAAGAGGATCACTCTTGATGCCAGTTCTCAAATCAAAGAAGATAGCAATCAAATGTTTACCTCTGGTAAACTGTGTATCTTTTGAAACTGAGATATGGAATATGACCGGATGTAATCTCCCATTTCTTCCCGGGTTTCTATTGCACGTTTTACAAGCCACTAAGAGCAACAAAGAAAAAGAAAGAAAAAGTTGTGGGAAGGGAAAAAAATAAGATCTGGATATGTTACATCTATAAAAAAGCTAATTGAGAAAATGAGCCTCTTCTTTTAATCAGCAGAGCTATTTTTCCAACAGCACCATCTTTATATACCAATAAGCATGTACCTGTATAACAGGAAAGATGTGAATGAAATCCAATCCCTGTATTTGATGTGGCTCCAAGCGGTGAGGGCATTTCATTCTAGGTAAAACTGATACAATTTTCTCTGTTAAGGCACTGAAAAAAGACAAATAGGAGACAATTTAGAAATGTACAAATATATATACAGAACATCCTGAAAGGGCCCCTTGTGGATACAATTGAATGGCCAATAAACAACACATCCCATTAATTTGTTTAGAAATCTCACCTAATACAAAGACCCTTAATTTTCATGTAAGCAGTATAGGATTGCAATCTAAATGGCTGGAGTGATTAAAAAAACGTTGCGCACAAGAACTCAACAATATTAAGACAGGTCTGCCAATTTCTATGAGAAATAATTTGACTCATAGCCTCTTATTTTTTGGAAGAAAAAACTCTGAGACAAACTTTTAAATGTTTAAAACTATTATGTCACCTTTAAGTTGCCTCTTGCTAAGAAAACATTGAGATACATACAGTAAACAGATTGGGTTTTTTTTCATAAAGTGATTCTCATAACAGAGTGTAAGAGCCATGGAGGTGCAGTGGTTAGAATGTGGCATTGCAGACTAATTCTATTGACAGATTGCCAGCAATTTGGCAGTTTGAGTCTCACCAGCTCAAGGTTGACTCAGTCTTCCATCATTCCGAAGTCAGTAAAATGAGGACCCATATGCTGACTATGTAGACTGCTGTAAAGCACTGTGAAGCACTGTGAAGTGGCATATAAATATAAGTGCTACTGCTATTGCAGTAATAGTACCTCATTCCCACTTGCTTGGATCAATGAAAGGAGCATGTGATTATTTTGGCATTACCTAAAAATTGATTTGAGAATAATGCATAGAACAAAGTGTCTATCTTACTTTCAGAGCTACTATAAAACAATTCAAGATAATCAGAAATTATTGCACAACTTTCCTAGATAAACAAATTTTGTGCTGAAAGGGTCATGTATGCCAATAAATTAGTTTCCAAGTGTTTCCCTACCAACTTACATTTTTTGACCAATTGTTGAGTTTTCCTGAAATAACAAGTCAACATCAATGTCAAAGTTGCAGGTTGTGATACACCAAGTCATGCCACCAACCACCTAAAAACAGGATAAACATATTCATTAAAGTGAAAAATCCAATTGATGCCATATATCACATAAAAATGTAATTCACTTTAACTTAGTAATGAGATTTTAATTTATTAGCAGTTCCAGAATTTATTGTTGAATGCAAGATGTTTCTTTTCAACTTATACTAGCCATATTTATTTTATTTTACTAAGAAACATTAAGAGAATCAAGAAAACAAAACGGTTGTTTGTATAATCTGTACTTCAGTTGAATTGGTGGTTAAAATCAGCAAAATGATGAAAAACTATTAAATCTGTTTAGAGCATGCAGCCTGCACATAGTATTATAGTAATGATATATGAATATAATCTTACCTTATCAAAAGGAGACAGGCCTTTAATTCTTGCCCTGAAGTATCCAGCAGCAACTAAGAGTTCTAAAATTTCACTTAACTTGATATTTTGTTCTTCATCCTCTCGAGTTTCAACCTAAAAAGAAAATTAGGTGTGTATCTATATTAATAAAAGTTATCAAGATGGAGTGGGATGATGAATATAAATATAATCAGTAAATATTATTTCCCGATGCATGTTATATTTATGTCATAATATATGTTCTACAAATTACCTCAAGATACAAATCAACATTACCATAACCACTTCTGAACACTCAAAAAAGTGTCCAAGATTGGTTCTTCATTTCAAAGGATGGTCCTGTACCTTCCTCAGCAATGATTATAAAATGTGAGAAATCCCTGGGTGTATAAAATTACACTTTAAAAAAATTGCTATCATATTGCCAAATTATTACTTTTATGTGACTATTCATTTTAATACTACCATACTACTGTCAGATTTCTTTGGATGAAAATAATTATGGTTTTATTAAATTAATATATTGTCTTTTCACCCGAAATAATGCTTAAGAGAGGGGTTTTTATCCTATTGCAAAATACTTTGTGGAAAAAACATACTTAAGTTTAGCTTATTTATTTTATTCAATTTGATGCTACCTGACTCCAAACAACCCTTTTATACAATTCTGTGGATTTATCTAGATCTCTTCAAAAATGCTGCTAAAGCTTAAAGTATGCTACAATCTCAAAGACAGTGATACAATTCAAGTATCTAGTCAGTTATGGTTAACAGTACATGTGGAATATCAAAAATTGTGAATAAAGAGCATTTTTATTGTGCTATATGCTACTAATTCAATAGAAATAACTGCTATGGTTTTGCATTTGTACCAGTGGTGGGTTTCTACCAGTTTGGATAGGTTCGGACAAACCAATAGTAGCTTGGCGGTGTTGGTCGCTACAACCAGCAGTGACCCAGGCCTCCCACATCCCCAAACTGGTTCTCCCGGTGGCGCCATCTTCTTTTTGTTTTTTGTGCATGTGCAGAAGCATTTTTATAGTACTGCACATGCACGCACAACACACATCAAGCACGTGAAGGAAGCACACAGCAAGTGCATAGTGCATCCCTGAGCAAACCGGCAGTAGTGGCTGCTGGAGCCCACCACTGATTTGTACCAATCCCAACTACATTTCACAACACAGGAATGTAAGTGAAGACAACAAACTTCAAATTTAAAATCATGGGTATCTGCAAACGCACCATAAAAGTAAACCTCTAAATCTCAGTAATCATTGTAAAAAGGGATCACTGATTATAGATCCAGCACCTGGACTACTGCACTGCAGCCTCTCTACATTCACAGCTCAATGCCCAATGGCAGTCTCAGGCCATTCTCTTGGAACCAAGGCAGCTTGTTTGTGAGAATGGATCAGTGGCTGAAAACTACTTCATCAAAACTCACAAAACCCAGTACAAATAGCAGGAGAACTAACATTCCGCTAACTAAATTTCAAAACTCTTACCAAGTGTGGGTCTACATAACTATAATAATTATTTTATAAGCAACTCCAAAAGAAATGTGCAATTAGGAAATGCAGTGATGAATATCTAAGACTGTGCTTTTCTAGTCACATAAAAATCAGATTTTTTGATAAACAACTTTCTTGACCCCAGCAAGTTCCTATTAAAACCTGTTGCGGTTATGTAATGAGTGCCATTATACAACATTCAAAAAAATATTAGTTTTAGAAATTTTGGGGTACAATTCTTAAAGATGCCTTTAAAAATGGGAAGATATAGAAAGGTATGTATACCTGCAACCATAACAACTCTCTAATTCATAATAAAAAGTGAACTTCCATGATTTTAGGAATGAAGACATAGGGAAGTGGGGGATTCCTGCAAACACTTAAATACTTATTTAATAATCCAGAAAGGGATCATCTGCAGAGTTCAATATGTTTTTCCCTTGTTCTTAGGAAGGATGGAAAATCTGTTGTTTTGAGAACCATTGGCTCAATGGTGTTCTTATTGTCATGACAGCCCTCAAAATGACAGCCCTCTGCTGCAAAATGGGATTACCTTTAAATTTATAGGAAGCTATTTTGTGAGCTGAATTATGCTCTTCTGTACAACACATTATTTTTGGCTATTATGTTCTATATACGGTAGACTTCCTTTAATAGACATTATCAAGCTACTGTAGAAGGACAAACTGATTATTTCATGTAATGGAGACTACAAAAACAGAAACACCAGTGAAAACTATCTCTCTGAATACCTTATGCCACCTGACTTGAAATTTTGGGCTTAAGACAATTTAAAACTATGCCGCCTTCGGTCTGACCTAAGCACAGCACATAAAATTATCCGCTACAATGTCCTACCTGTCAATGACTACTTCATCTTCAACCACAACAATACACAAGCACACAATAGGTACAAACGTAAGGTAAACCGCTCGAAACTCGATTGAATACGACTTCAGCAACAGAGTGGTCAATACCTGGAATGCACTACCTGATTCTGTGGTTTCTTCCCCAAACCCCCAAAACTTTAACCTTAAACTGTCTCCTGTGGACCTCACCCCCATTCCTAAGAGGTCTGTAAGGGGCGTGCATAAGCGCACCAACATGCCTACCATCCCTGTCCTAATGTTCCCTTTTATTCTTATCCATTTCATGTATTCAAAATCATGTTTATACTTATATATGTTATCTAATACATGCTTGAAGAAATAAATAAAATAAATAAAAGTAAATAAAATAAATACATTTAATGAAGCACGTTAGGGATCGGCAGGAAAATGAGGCAGAAATACAGGTAGTCCTTGATTTACGACCACAACTGAACCTAACATTTCTATTGCTAAGCAAGACCGTTGTTAAACCTAAGAGACGCAACACTTCACACAGGACATAATGCTTAAAAGGTAACACTTCACAGACTCCCATGTCCTCAGCTGTACAGAGAACATTTAAAAAAAAGCTCGGAAAGAAACTGTTTTTTCCCTTCTTTTGGAAAGAAAGCGACTCATTCTCGAATCGTTTTTCCTCCTCCTCCTCCACGGGACGTGCATACAAGGTTCGCTCGGGGACCCAACAATCGCACGACTCTTTCCTTTACCTCCTGTGCAGGCTGATGTTCCTGCCCCTTAAGGGTACCCATGTCCGCGCCTTCTCTTCAGCTGCTGGTGCTGCTGTTGCAGCACCGCTTCCTTCTCTTCTGTCACATCCGCTCACGCCGGACTAAAGACTCGCCCACTTAAGTGGGGAAAGCTTGGGTGGCGCTCCTTCTTCTTCCGCGTAATCCTACACTCCCCTCTTCTTCCCTTGGTTTGGACCGCACTCCTCACCCAAAGCGCGCAGATCTAGCGCGGACCGTACCACTCTGTTTAAAAAGAAAGGGGGAGGCGAGAACGGGAGGCGCTCAAGTTGCTCTTTGGCGCGCAGAAGGTTGGCTGGCGAGTTGATGATTGAAGGAATGCGCCAAGGCCGAAATCAGATTTTGGTAAAGAAATGCCTGGCCCTTATTCCCGTCTGATTCCTTCTGTTTCTTATTCATTATGGAAATTAGTGAAAACACCCCACATTTGGAAAGATAGTCGTCTGCTGTAAACATGCCGTCGAGATGAGATGACTTCTAATAACTGCGGTTGTTACAACTGACAACAGCAATGAGAAAAAAGTGACTTATGACCGTTTTTCACACTTACGACCATTGCAGAATCTCCATGGTCACATGACCAAAATTCAGGCATTTGGCCACTGACCCATTTATGATAGCTGAAGTCTCCCAGGGTTATTTGATTCCCTTTTGCGAACTCTTGACAAGCAAAGGCAATGAGGAAGCCAGATTCACTTAACCATGTTACTAACTTAACACCTGCACTGATTCACTTAACAACTGTGGTGAATAAAGTTGTAAAATGGGGCAAAACTCAACAAATGTCTCATTTAACAATATAAATTTTGGGTTCAATTGTAGTCGTAAATTGAGGAGTACTTGTATTGACCAAATTATCCCAAATTAGCTTTTGAGGTGAGCCTGCTAGGGTGCCGTCATCTGACTGAACTTGATCAATGGAGAGATCTGCTTTTAGCAGAATGAATTACCAAATGGCAAAACAATCTACTAATTTATAGTCGTGCCTTGACAAGAGCTTGCTTAGCCATCTTTTGCCTATATTTAGTAAGAATGTATTTATTTCTTTAAATTTATTTATTTTAATCAATTGATATGACTTCACATCTCACAAATGCAATTCTGGATGGCTGACAAACATAAAAAATACAATATAAATTAATTTTATGTAATATATTTAACTAATTATAATGAAAAGTGGCTCCTGAGGACACCTACAACGGGCATAATTATTCTGAATAATTTATGTAAAAGTTTTAAAAAATAATTTTCCTGTGAAAACTGCCAGGTCTTCAACACTTTCCAAAAGATGAGCAGAGGAGCCAACTTAATCTCAGGTGATGTGGTGTTCCAGATGGCAGTTGAAACCTATGGACAAGCACCCAGAGCATGTTCTTCCCAGATTAATGATATGAATAGAAACAATGGAAACAAGATGATTCCCTCATATACCCTATCCCGAGCCATGTACAGGTTTATAGATAATAACCAACTTGGTTAGTACCTTGATTTGCACCGATAAGCAAATTGAAAACAGTACAACTAGCATAAGAAAAGTGTAATACGAGAATAGCAAGGCCCACAATAGCCCACATTGCTTCATTCTTGAACAACTGAAATTTCTAAATGTTCTTCAAGGGCTGTAGAACATATTACAATATCCACTCAGGAGGTGACCAAAGCTTGCATGATTGTGTGTAGTTCCTCTTGATCTAAGAAGTGAGAGAATCTGTGCCCAATGCAAAGTTGTTTAAAGACACCACTCCCCAAGACCCATCTGCCACTTACTCTTTGGAGTCAAAGAGGACCCCATATTGTCCACTGGTAGTGTCTGCAATACTGCAACACCATCCAGAACTAAGGATGGGAAATAACCAGATCCAGGGAGCCCTTACGTCCAAAAGCTAGTATTGAGCTGAAGTCTGATCATTACCATTGAGACCCCCCCCCCACAGCCTTTAGGTACTGAGGCAGAATCTCCATCCAATCATTGGATAGAGGTGGAGTGTAGAGATGGAGATATTTAACAGAGTATCATCAGTACATTGATGACACCACAACCCAAGTAGTTGAATGATCTTACCTGGCAATTTCATATAGAAGTAGGGAGAAGGTCAATCCCTGAGTCACCCGATAAGAATGGCTATAGAGCAGGCCTATCCCACCATTAATACCTACTGGAACCAACCCTGGAGGAAGACGAACTAGCATGGCATTGTGTCCTAATCATAGGCAAAGATATTGAAGGCTAATGGAAATAAAAAAGATCAAGGAAGGACAAACTACTCTCATCCTACTCTCTCCAAAGATTATCCACAGGTTTAACTGATGCCATTTCAGACTCATAGCCTGGCCTGAAACTCTATTGGAAGGAATCTATATTTCATCCAGTGCCTTCTGAAACTACACAACAATCATATTCTTAACAACAATTTCTACAAAAATCTGAAGGCAGGGCAGAAAGTGTCCAAAACAGTTGGATCTTGGGATGGCCTCTTAAGAATGAGCAGATCACTGTCTTCTTAAGATACGTTTCAATAATGCATTCACCATTGTTCAGACTCAATCACATGGCTCCTGGGTAGTCTTTGTAGTCAGAAAGGACATGGATCTAACTCTGAGGTAACTGAACCTACAGCCAAGGACCCCATCTATTATCTCAAAACTAACATCATTTAATTCAACCCAGATAATGGAGCTAAAACGCACTTCAGTCAACTCCAAAGGTCATGCACTAAGGCCTGATTCCAAATCTGAGAGGCTTTATTCATAAGAAGCTGAGTGTATTCCTCTATAGTAAGTGGAGCTCAAGCTCTAGCTTCCCCAGAAGAGAGTGGGCCACTCAAAATAGAGACACTATTGTTATGGTCTGTTGGACATGTTAAACACTCTACCACACTGGGACACACGCTAGAATTTATCACTCATAACACTGAATGACCAGCAGCGGAATCATAGATGTCATATGATATGTATGATATACTAAGTGAAACTTAAGTAAAGCACATTATAACTTATTGTGTCACGTAACCCCATTTTTCAGTTGATCTGGAAAATTGGGCTATACTATGCATATTTATTTGGCAATAAATTCTACTGATCACTTGGGAACATATTGGTTTGTAAAAACATACAAGATACACATTTAGTATGTATTGTAAAAACATACAAGATACACATTTACAAGAGCACATATATCTAGTAGTGGATGTTATGGAGCAGCCTCCCCATGGAGATCAGTCCGACTGCCTCTTTGCTGGCCTTTGAGCAGCTCTTGAAAACTGAAATGGTTTCAGCTGTTCTCTGATGTGAATGTTGCCATCTTAACATTTTTTTTAAAAAAATACCGGTAATCATATATTGAACAGTTCCTGCCTCTAAATTGTTTTAATAGCAGTTTATTTATTTTTTACCATGGATGTTTTAAATTGCATCCTTTCCATATAAGCTGCTGGGTGTCTTTTTTGACCTCCATATGGAAATATGTTAAATAAATAAACAGTATTTCTCAGTTCTAAAGAAAATACAATCAGAATGCCCCTTGATATTCTGTGCCACTCTGCCAACTTACTTCTTTTAGAAACCTACTTCAGCAGCAGCTGAATGCCATTTCAGCACAGCTAAGATTTATATTCACATATGCTCATTTTACGAGATTATTTCTAACTACATAGGTAACAGAATTCAGCTCAGTATCTGAAAATCAAGTCATGTTTTTGCTGCTTCCCAGCTCAACACCTGTTATCAGCAGCACCTGTAATTCTGATTTGAAAATTGTTGGAGGATGGCAATTTCCTTATTGCTGCATGGGAAAAGTGTGATAAAATATCTCAGTCTACAATGCTGCTGAATTATGTGCCTTTCTGTAATAATAATTATTTGTTAGAAAGCCAAACAGGTTGCAGCAGCTGCTGTGCCAGCCCCACTGAGTATCTTTTATCTGCCAGTAGGTGATACTCGACATTTCAATGCAAAACAGACTCGCCAAACAAAGCAGATAATAAATGTAGAACTTGCTCGTACATGGTTTTACCTCTGAGGGTTGGAACCTCAGCTATTAAAATTATGAGATAACAGCAAGATCAGCTATTTTGATCTCAAAATGAGTATTTGTTAACATTAATGCAAATGCTGACTTCTAGCACTACAGTACTTATCACACTGCAAGTAGTCCTGATTCAAAGAGATCTAATATAAGTTGAAATTATTGTCAAACTGTCTTGTTGCAAATATGGTTGCTGTCAGCTGTAAGATAATTATTTTGGTGATTATTATTCCTTATTTTCTCTTTTAATAGAAAAGTGCACATGCAAAACATCCATGGCATGCCACAGATGTGCATGTACAATTGGCTGTGTTCAATAGAAATAAATTGGAATAAGATTATGAATGTTCATAGGATGCATAAATTATTTTGTATTTGGCGATGGTTCTTTGATTCACTATTTCATTAATAAAGTAGTAATTGACAAATGTGCTTTAACTAATCTTCATTAGGCCTTTTTTATTTTGGTTTGTTTTGGCTGTTAAACAAATGACACTATAATAAATTGAAATACAATGAAATATTGCAAGAGGTTATGTCTGCATAGACATTGAAGGAATGTTAAAAGAAAGTACATTGTTTGCTTCATACACGGAGCTCTTATTTAAGAGAAGAACTAATCATATTCTGAAATATAATAATTTATATCAGATATGAAAGAACTTTTCATAAACATTTTTCAGAACAATATTCCTTGTTTTCAACTTTACAGCATGCACTTTATGCATTTGTACAATTGTTTGCTCTGATTTTTGCCACAATTATGATTGTTTAGCTTAACATTAAATGTCAAAAATTGCTCTGTGTTTGCATTTTATATGAAATAAATAATTATGCAGAAAAGATAAAATGTGTTTAATTTTCTATGAAAATTATCTACTTGTAGATGCAGATAAGAATATGTTTTCACTACTGCTGACTAACTTAATCAAAATATAGGGCATCATTATTCATATTATAATTTACATTAAAGAAATGCTTATCTTGATCTTAACAGAAAGCACCATTTGTTATAGTGGTGAAATAGAAAGACCTAATATGTTCC